TCCCATCACCAGCAAGAGGCAGGGAGTGAGTGCATCCTTTGGACCCCCGGATTGCGGCACATTGAACTTTCTGGATCCAAGGGACAGTTGTGACACTTAATGAGCAGCAGCAGCAGACCCAGGAGCCAGAGGATGAAACAGAGCCCGGGGCTTCCCAGTGCAGGCAGCAACTACAGCGAGGAGGCTGGCCTGTGGACTACTGGGTCCCTCAGAGACTTATTCAGGGAGCTGGGTTAGCTGAGTCAGGGAGCTTGAGCTGAATGCCTCTAGGTTGAGGCTTACAGAGGAGCAGAATGCTCTTTGGACATCTAGGAGCATCCCTGAAAGAACTTTAACAAGTCCTGATGAACAACTCTATTCTGAGCATCTCTCGCTTGCATTACATGTAAACTTCCTTAATAAGCCCTTTAATCATGAATACCGTCTGTAGCTGTTGCAATGTATATTTGATAAAAGAGTATACTGGTGAAGGGAACACATTGCTATCTCTGAAGGATAGTTGAAAGTTAATTTTCTTTCTAAAATTGATATAATGGTAACATTCCTTGTTAACATTTTGGAGGTGAAGTATGCTCAAGGTAGTATGTGTGCGTGCGTGAGAGCGAGAGGGGGAGAAGGGGTGAAGGATAGACTTGTTGGTTATATGGCTACACCTTTTCTAGATGGTTTTGTTCACTCATTTTTCTGTATTAATAATTACTAACATTTATTAAACTTTGATGTTACTTGGCATACTTCAGACAACCTTATGTCATTGTCCCCATTATATAAATGAGGAAAACTGACACATGGCAGTGTTAAATAATTCGCTAGTAAGAGAAGATGTGGTCTTAAGTTTTCTTTTAAGTTTAACCACAGTAATTGAAGTAGTCATATTTTGTACTTTTCATTCAAGCCTATTTTTTCATGGCGTATTTCCTTCAGAAGGAATGATAGTTGTAAGTTGCAAGCGACGATTTGAATTCTTAGTGAAGCTTTCCAAGGATGAACGAGATAGCACAACTTAGTTTAATATTGAGGCGCGAATGGTTTTATTGTGGAACAAACTAAGTGTACAACAGGTCATATGTGTTTTTTTTAACCTGATAATAGTTCTTTTTTCCCCTCAGATAAATGTTAATGAAATTACAAGATTTTCAGATTTCCCTTTGTCTAAAAAAACATTGAAAGGTAAGTGCATGGTGGTCCTGGGACACATTTATAGGATCCCCCCTCCCCAATTAAATAGTTGGTAACTAAGTGTTACCTCATAAATCTTGCATTGGTACTAGTAAGATCTTTGATGCACGAAGTCCAAGGTCAATAAGCCCACCAGAAACAGAACTGAGAGTAATGATTCTCTGAAAAGGGGGTGGGGGAGTGGGAAGAGGGGAAGGGAGAACTGATAGCAACGGTAACTGTATCGCCCCACTTGAGGGGAACGAACATCAGAATTTTAGGTGAATGGGTTCATTGGATGGTGTAAGTTATGGCCCCCCCCCAAAAAAAAATATATATATATATTTGAATATATATAATCAATTAGCTCAGTGTCACCAATGGAGACTTTCTTTCTAGATAAATAAAAAAATAAAAAACACAAGCGG